ATTGTAGTTCATCTTGTTATATTTCTCTAGGCTTTGGAATTTCGATAATCCGATTAATATTGATTGAGTTATGATTTTTACAAATTTATCATACAAGCAGTTTTTTTCTGGAACCGGCATCATGAGTCTATATAATGTTTGGCCTGTTTATGGTGTCATAATATGATCTAGTGAATTTGTAGTCTTCATAAAAGTTATAGTTCTGTTGATTAGCTTTCTAATGAGATTGGAGTCATGCTGAGTTGATATCTATAGCTCGAGTTGTGTTCATATGATAGTAGATATACATGAAGTAGGGTTTTACTCTTTGGCAGAAAACTGATGTTAAATGTTGGTAGATTTTACGCCATCTTAAAGACCTTATCTGCTTTTGTGTTCTAAATAAAAGTTGTAGGGCTATCTCTTATCTTTCTAAGCATACTATAACCATGAAATTTAGAGGTCGGTAACATGATTAAGAAGATAAATACTGAGGTACTGTTTATATCATACTTTAGTCTCGGACAGACTTTATGATTCGAATGTTTTGTATCCAAACTCATTTATAAAGTGATTATTTGCCAATATGGTCTTCCGCAAAGCTGTAGAAATTTGAGTTAGCTATCATTTAGTTTTTGAATCTCATTAAAAACATGTCTGTAGCTCCAGTTATCTATTAAATACTGAAGTCTGGTCGGTTACAAGTTCTCGATTTTTTACTACTACTCAGTTTTGAATGTTTGATGATTTATTTCCTAGTACACGACCTTATTTGCTTTCTGTGTCTTCATAAGAATTTTAGATACATGTGTTAGGATTTTAGTGCAACATAAATCATATTCATCCGAGTTTTGTACTGAAAGTTATGTTGATTTCAAAAACGCTGCCTGGTTTAAGTTTTTTAAAAAAATGTACATAGTATTTTTACAAATGGGATTTCCTTGATTAAATGATTATGTGAGCTTAGTTGGATTAAGTGATTGTTATGATTAGTTTTTCATGTGTTGCATAGTCATTTATAGGACTATTTTAATAAATGTAGGTGCTTGACGAGCCGAGCTCGCCGCCTACCCGTTATTGTTGTGCTTTCGCTTGTTATCGTTCAGGTGGGTTTACTTATAAAATTTGCTATGCCATATGTATTATAATTAATGTTGGGTTGGTATGATCTAAGTATGCATGTAAACCATGTAGCCTATCGGCGTGAGCCGATTCGGCCGTCGGTACGGTTGTTCCCGTCGATGTAATACGGTTACCCTTGCGATGTAAGTCCCTTAAGACCTAATGAAAGGCCGTGTCCGTAGCGTGGCACGTACCCCCACCGTTAGGGTAATGAATCCCCTTTTCGTGGCTAATGTAACGCCCCGTTCGATTTATAGAATTTCTCGGATTATTCTATTTATCGAATCTTAATTTTGAGATTATATTTTATATTATTATATGGATACTGTGATTATATATCTCGTTCGATTTTATTTTATCAATCGTCGTTTGAATTTTCGGTTTAATCGCGTAAGCCGAATTGTTGTTCGTTTGAATTCCCGTGGAGAATAGTAGGAAAATGATTTAAAATGCCGATGCCGAACTCCCGTCATTTCGTTCGATTACTTTAACTGAGCTCGTATTTTCCCAAAGACGGTAAACATTTCCGAACCCTCTCGTTATTGCGGTTGTTCTCGTATATCACATGTTATATATAAGTATCGTTCGTATTACCGAATCCTTGTTTGAAGTTGGATTTTTTCGATTGGTACATGCATGATTTAATGCTATGTTGTGTTGTAATTATGACCATTAGAAACCCGTAATTTGTTGTTGAGGCCTTCTTGGAAACAACATGAATTATAATTGAATTCAATGGAATTAAGGGGATTAATGCATGATTTATTTGTGAATCCATTCAGCCCCCCACTCACGATTTTGGGATTTGTTGTTAAAATATGAATACATCATTTTGTTTGGTTTAATTCATGTGAATGGATTCAGCAATCAATGTTTGAGGTTATATTTGAGAATTATCAATTGAGTTGTGTGCAATTTCTCAAATTTGATTTAGAATTGTGGATTTATGTTTAAGGACCATGATTTATTTGCTCAGAATGTGAGTACGTAATTTGGTTTCATGGTTCAATTTTGTGTTGTGAATCCGTCAACCAATTGAAATTTATCAGGCTTGGTGAGAATGGATATGAGATCAATTTATTTGTTGTTTGGTATTCTTGAATCCATCAGTTTATTCGGATGAATTTGGTTATACATGTGAACAATAAGTCATCCCAAAGGAAGATTTATAGTTTGATATGTTCTTATTGTTAATGTTTGATTACTGCATTAAGGTGTCAATTACAAGTTTATATTTTGTCCAAAGGTAAAATATTAATGGAGTTATGATGTCTTGAGATAAAGTTACTCTTATTTGAGTTTATTATTTTAATTCTATGTAAATTTTGTGACCGTAAACATTGATGTTGTTACTTGTATGTTTTCGGGATATATGGAGTTATCCATCTAAAGGTTGATTTAAAATTATTATGTTTGTTTATGATGTTAAATCAACATGAGGAACTAAATGTTATGGCCTTTCACAAAAGGAGATAAAAATAAATGGTGGATATTTATTTTGTCTTATTTTGTTATATTTGATTTGAGGCTAAATTGTGAGTATATTTGAGCTTACGTTGACATTTGGTTTTCGTCTAATTCGGCTCTTAACAAAGTTTGTTTCTAGCTTAAAATCTAGATATTTGAACTTGGTTCTATGTTTTGTGGACTTAATTCACAATTCGGCAATGTTAAGCCTAATTTGGACGTACTAGGCTTTGGCTATATAAAATTGGGCTTAAAGTCTAATTTGGTTTTATAGACTTTAAACTCAAATAAAGTTAATGGACACAAGTTAATATAAAGTTTCATATTTTGACTCAAATTAAAAGTTAGATTTTGAAATTATCTTTTTTTTGGTATCTCAAAATATTTATAAGGTCTGGAGTTTGAGTTTGACCTTGTGGTAGACTCATAATGTGTTTCCGGAATGCTGGGCTAATTGTCCCATAAGGATAGGATTTATATTGAAAATCTTCATTTATAATCCATAAGGATTTTTTGCGTCAATCAAAGTATCATGTTGCCATGGCAACCTCTGTATGTGGAGAGCGACTTTATTGAAATTACATAGATGTCGTGTGGAATTATTTATGCGTTTTGTGATCAGCTCATAGGTAGACACAATTTGGCAAAATAACAATACACATGTGATGATAAGTAAGTGATAATTATTTAGATTGTTCATGTGAACATTAGTCAGTCCAAAGATAGACTTTTGTTTGACAGAACTTATTATCAATGCTTGATCATTACAACAAGATTACCACTGCACTTAATTTTCTGTCCATAGACGAGATTAATGTTGCACTATGGTGTCTTGCCACGTGTCCCTATTTGGTCTATTTACCCATATTTATGTATGACATAAATTTATGTGTGAGTATTTTGGTATTGTTCAAAATTTTTCCATCTGCTTACCTTAAGTCATTTGTCATTATATATTTTTCTATAAGTTTTATATGCTTATAGAACAATATTTGGTTGTTATTGGGACATAAGGTTGATGGATAATGTAGGAAGTTCCACTAAGGATATTTGATGAAATAATATATCTTTTGATTATTGTTTCAATTAAGTTAAATGGAACCTAAGGAAGTACATTGTGATATGTCTAAATCTCGTATTCAATCTAAAGGCACATTAATTGTGCATAAGATGTTTCTTTTGTTATGTGATTAAAGAAAATTTGAACGAGAAAAGACTTAATGTACAATGTATCCTTCATTAATCCACATTCTAAAGTTTGCTTCTCAATATGAGTTAGCTAGTTTGGTTTTGTACCACTTAAGTATTTCGTGAGTAAGTTTTCTTATTTTGTCACTCACATAAAGCAATCAAATTTTTAAGTGGTACAAGACATATGAATCTAACTCAATTTTGTTAAGAAATATGGTTGACTACTCCTCTTTGTCAATAATGTGAGAA